ATTTATTCTAATCGACGTTACTTTTTTACTCTTTTCGGGGAGGGGGAATTTTTTGAATTTTTTTCCCTTTTTCACGGAATAATTCCATCGCACAGAATATTGTACAATTTTCTTGTCGATCACTTTCGAGTTCAAAATCATATCTATAAAAATATTCCGCACATTGCTCATAAATCCCCGTAACGATCTTAATATTCATTTCGAGGCATTAATTTGCATTGTCGACAACACGGGAACAATTTCGAGCTAATCAAATTAAACGAGACACCCGGTGTGTATAATTTCACCCGTTCTGCTTTTTGCAGCGCTAATTGCACGGAACGACTACCCCCTACTAAACGACTAATTCATAAGGGAACGAGGAGAAACTCGAACGAAAGGGTATCCGTACAGAATTCCAATTAATCAATTTCGCGCGAGCCACCTGCTAGTCGAAGCAGAGAGAGAGAGAGAGAGAGAGAGAAGAAAGGAAGACGGAAAAGAGAAGAGAGAAAGAGAGATAGGGAGAGAATGGGAAGGATACGAAATATCATACATCGATACCGAATGTCTGGAGGGTTTGTTTCAGAGACCTATTTTCGCTCTCGAGCTGAAGTCTTTCCATTCGCCACTTCTTCATCTGACACTTCATTATCGTGAGCTTCCTCAGGGCAAACGAGAGGTCCTGGATCTCCGACTCTTTGGAAGTGTCTTTGAAGGGATTGTAACTGCAGCAACAGCAAGGCTCGTTCGGGAAATCGGCCGATTCCAACGACGCCATTATCCGGCTAATCTTTTCAAGTTTTTCAACGTAATTGCAAACCGAGACGAGAATTTTAAGATCGATCTGTACCTACAAGAAGGAAACGTGGAGTTCAGAAGCCGAGGGAAACTCGATGAAAAAAGAAATGCTCGGTCGTTAAAGGAATTTTAATATATAGATTGATTTATTTTAAGGGTTAAACAATTATTTCCTCCCCCCTCGAGTTATCTACCACTCGAATAATTTCTTTTATTTTAATTCTACGATTCAGTTATTTAGGATTAATTTATAATAAACGTATCGAACAAGATCATTCGATGCGATGTATATAAAAAATTATAAATTAAATTCATCGTAAGTAACATTTTAACATTCAATTTCAAGTGTCTAAATATCGTTTAAAATAACGGGTTCGTATTTAATCTTACAACGCTCGTTCGCGGCAAGTTTCTTCACGAGGGATAATGGCCAAACATTGTTAAAAAAAAAAAAAAAAAAAAACGGCAAGAAAGATAAACGCTTTGACTTGAATAAAATACATAATTCATAAGTCCGTTCATAAAGGAACGTAACCGCGGCTGAAAGGGCTATGAATTCGCATCAAGGCCATTATCAACGGTTACGGTACAAGACTTGCCACTTTTAAAGGAACGTAAAACCGCGTTTGGGCATTCGAACGATCGGTGTCCTTACTTCGTTCCCGATCCTCTAAATTCCCATTCCATCCATTCGCCTTATCATATTTTTACAGGTTATCCGTAACGTAACTGTTCCTCGGCCGCAAATCGCGACGAGTCATCGATGTAAGCGAATTTACGGTCGTAAACCGATTATAGACAGTCCGTCGCGCCTAAGCGCGAAACTGCCCCAACGCAGGACAAAACATTTAGCCTGGATACGTGTATACGCGAAAGAGGAAGCCAGGTTAGGGTGATGTATATTTCACAGCGGCAGTCACACTTTTGCTGCCACACGACCGCGGTCATCGATGAAGATCGATAATCTGATTTAACGTCAGACCGGTCTGTTTTATTGGGGCCGCGTAAATAAATTCGTTCAAATCTCGATGACGGTTAGGTACGATAACGTTTTTCATTCACCGATATTATTTATTTATTGGGAAACTGGTTCGGTGTGCGAGCACGATTTACGATTACTTCCGCCATGATTTTTAAATTATAGGACATCGGCCAAAAAATATTTTCTTTTGCACGCGATTGATTATTCGTCATTCTTCTTCAACATAATCTAATAATTTGATTAGATACATTTTGGATTGTTTTTCGTCGAGCGAATATCTGAATCAATGAATTGTTAATCCTTTAAATACAACAATGAATAGATCCTGTTTTATTTTTATTATTACTTACGAATTTTGAAAGAAAAAAAAAAAAAAAGATACAGAATTTTAGTGTTGTATTTACTACATTTACTTATAGTAATTGAGACTGCTTTAATATTCTCTCATTAATTTTTAAACGCGTTACATTTACATATTCTCGTTTCCCCAAATTAGATTTATATTCATATTCTCGATAAATTTATGAAAATTTCGTCCAAACCCAATGAAATATCTTTTTTAATCAATTCGAGCAGATTGGTTCAGGAATTTGTGCGAATCCTGCCGGTATCTAAGCATTAACGTTGCACACGTTTCCGAGAGAGATCTAATTACAGCCGCGTTATTAAAATACATTCCGTTTGTATGCAACTCGTCGACCGAGCTCATCTTTCGAAACGCGAAAACTGGGAGTCCCTTTCCGCCATTTCCGCTTTATACATTCGATACAAGCGATACAGGGAGACGTCGTGGATGTAATTAAAAGAGCGCGGAGGGGAAAGCTTTCTTTTCACCGGATCGGTGAGGAAAGTTGTCTCGTTAAAAAGGGAATCGTTGGTCCACGACTAGACTAGCAGTTACTTATCATCCAGATTTGGCGAAAAGTTTCGAAAGAAACCGGAAACTTTCGAATCGTATCCCCATCCGTGTAGTTCCGCCATGTTCGCGTAATTAAATTAGGGGAGAGGCCTCCGTTAGAATTTCGTTATTAAAGCCTCGATATTAACTTTTACATATTTATTATAAAACTTGGATGAAACTTCCGGAGAGAGAGAGAGAAAAAAAAAAAACTTGGATGAAACGAACGACGATTCCGTTTTGTCATGATTAGTTTTGTAGAGAGAACTCTGTATACTGAACGTGGAGAGGAGGGATATAAAGATGTTCGATCTTTCGAGAAGTTGAACAATTTATATTAATTCCCTTGAATTGCCAATAAACGCGAGGAATCGAAGAGGCGATTATTGATAATGATACGCTGTATTAAAAGTTTTGAATAATCACCTGGATGGGTATACATATATATATATATTTTTTAAGACTTTCGATTAAACGACATTTCAAAGGTTAAAACGAGCAGAGAATTCTTTTAAAGTATGAAGATAGTTTTTCTGAGTGGAAATGTCAATTGATTGTTAAATCGTTCGATTAATTTATTATTAATGATCATTTTAAAATTAATAAAATTATTTTATTAAACGTATTTCTCTTCGAGTAATGTCAATAATTAATTTTGTTATATATTTTTTAATTAACAAGTTGATATATAACAAGAACTAGCTACTAAAACGAATCATCGATATGCGTTAAACTCTCGTGTAAAAGTTAGTTCACAGCTACGAAACTTTTGATTCACGTTCAATTTAAACGATTGATAATTGAATTACAATTCACCAACTCTCGTTAAGAATATTATATTGGATGTTCCAATTTTAAGAAACTTATACAACGATACGAAAGTTTTCCAACAATTGCAAAGAGATTTATCTTCGGTTCAATTACTTATACTCGTAAATTTATTACACGAGAGTATCTTTTTAATTAAATTTGCAAAGTGAAAATTTAGAAAATTTAAAACAGTGTAGCAAAACTAATATTTGACATTACGTTAAAATCTTAAGATAAATATAATTATCAATACAAATGCATGCTCTGTATTTAAAATTTATGATAATTTTATTCAAGAAATTTATCATAAATAAATTTATCCTTGTAAAAATTTGTTATTATTCTATTCTTTACCTACTTTTTAATAATAATATATTTATCTTAGATAAATTAACAATGAAATCATCTCTTATCATTTTATAAAAATTTAATCTAATGTTTATATAAATATATCGAAATATTCTGTTCATATATATATATATATATATCATGTGAATAATATTTATTTTATTTATTAAAAAAAATTAAAAAAAGAATTAAAAAATATATATATCTACAAAATATTATTCTATAATTTATTCTAAACAAAAGACATGCATCATTTCTACGACCTGAAACTATAAATATATGTCAAATGAATTTTCAGTGACGTAACCACAAACATTCAAACCATAAAATTTTTTCAAAAGTTCCGTAAAAATGTAATATGCTTCAAGAAAAATGAAAATTTCATTCAGAGGATGAAAATTATATGTAAAGATGCAATAAATTTAATAATTCTTTCTGGCATTTGAAATATCTTTTTACTGCAATTATATTTAAATCTGCAAAAAAAAGTTTAACAAATGTTCGTGCAGAGATTTCAAGGTACAATATCGTATAACTAATACCAAAATAATTATATCGTTTAATTTTCCATACAAGATTAACCTAGAAAATTAATTAAAAATTAAATTCTCAATATAAGTTCTTAGAATCCATACCATTATTCATATGATTTATTAACGCAAATAATGAATTAATTCGAATATTATACCAATTTGCAAAGATCATTAATTAATCCTGCAACGATACATTTCACAAGTATTTCACAAGGATGTTCATTTTCATATTATATTCTCCCAAAATAATTACAAATATAAAATTTATTTAACAATGCTTCAAATACGTTAATCGTCCAAAATTATTGAATATATTATTAAATTTTTAACAGTTTCAACATAAAATACTATACTATATTGTTTAAATGCTATAATATTTGATTACAAATAAGGAATAGAACCATTGCAGGATTAATTTGATCAAATATCTCAATTTGATTTACCACATAAATTATACACATTTGTTATTGCAACTTTCAGCACTCCCGATTCCTTTTTCAATCAAAGATAAAATCATTCTATCGCAAACAACTCTTATCCAACCGAATTACAAACAATTATCTCCTATCCCTATTAAAAAAAAAAAATAATAATAATAAATCCAACATTTCGATCTGCCTGACCGATACTCGAGAATCTAACAACAAAGATGAACGAATATCTCGACAATTGCCACTCGATCGAGCAAACTGGCGATGACGTGTTCAAAGACAAAACGAGGATAGCTGAAGTAGCTGCTGCCACGTTGTGCAGATTGAACAGCATAATGAAGCAGATGAAAGACTGGCGGGACGATCGCATGAAATTGCGATCCAACATATGGCGTTTGAAGCTGGCGTTACGCGTTGCTGGAAGGGAGACGGACGGCAGTGTCCACGCTGACCCATTGATCGAGCAACAGAAAGAGGAAATCAAACGACTGGAGACGACCAACAGGGAATTGAAGAAGGAGATTGCCAATATTAAATCGAGTCTGCTCAGTAAAGGGTACGTGACGCAGGAAACGGATTGGAAATCCGAGGACAAGCTCGTGGAAGTTGAGCAGGAGTATTTGATGGAGAGGGAACGTTTGAACAACGAGATCCAGTATCTGAAAAGTCGGTTGAACGAGGTCGAGGAGGGTCATGTACACAGTTCGGAAGTGGAACACTTAAAATGCAAGCTGAAGCACTTCATGATGGTCGACTACACTATGGAGATTATATTCACCGATATAGTTAACAAAGTGGCCGAGACCATAGCGAATTTGTCCGAGGAGTTGGTGAACGTGAACGAACGTTTGCACAAGTCCCAAATGAGGAACGACAATCTTTACGTGGAGATCGATAAGTTGAAAGCGATGCTCAGATTCAAGAACGGCAACCTAATGGATTACCAGAGGAGGATAGTCGAGCTGGACAATGTGACGAAACGTTTGAAAACGGAAGTGAACAAGTTCAAGGTTAATTACGACGAGAGCTCGTGGAGCATCGGGTCGAGCAATTTGAAAAACGTGGAACGTTTCGTGAACGACTTGAAGTACAAGTTGAGGAACGATCACGAGGCTCTGCTTGGCGGCGGCGATCCGTATTGTTTCATGTACATTCAGAAAATCATCGAGTTGCGGATCAATTTGCGACAATTGCACATCGATTTGGCAAAATCGATCGGCAAGGAGCACAGGAGCACCTCGGGGAAATTGATGGAGCACAACGAATACATGAAACAGCTTTCGAAGTTGGACTCGATATTGAAAGAGATCAACAACGAGATCGACAAGTTGAAGAGCAATCACGTGAAAAGGCATTATAAAATCGGCGATTCCGAGGGTCTCGAGTATTTGAATAAAATAGTCGAGCTCGAGGCGATAATCGAGGAGATACAATCGGCGATGAACAGGTTGAATCGTTGCTCGAAAGGAAAGTCGAACGAATCGAAGGACATAGAAAAATTGGAGGAATTCGTCGGTAGAGTGTGTCACGAGATCAAGCAATTGGAAGTGATAGTGGTATCGAGCGATCGTTTGAGCGTGTTCAAGAGGATCGACCAGCTCGAGGAGTCGATCGTTCGGTTGAAGACTGAATTGAGCAATAAGGAGGCGCACATGACCGACCTCGACCAGGAATTAGTGGACACGGACAGTATGTTGAAACAGAAAATGGTGGCGTTGCAGGACGCGCGCCACGAGATCACGATACTGATACAGGAGAACAAGGTGTTGAAGGAGAAGACGAACGTGATGGAGGAGAAGACGTCGGAGCTTCAATGCGAACACGAGGACGTGAAGAAGGAGTTGGAACAGCTGCAATACGTGAAACACGAGGCAAATTTAACGAAGAAGAAATTACAAAATCTTCAGGGCGACAAAGAGGAGTTGTTGAACGAAATGCAGAAAATTCGCGACGCCCTGAACAAGAAAAACGAGGAGACGAAGATCGTTCTTGCCGAAAAGAATACAATGGAGAGGGTGTTCAACGTGAAAATCGCGGATTTGTCGAAGAATCTTCAGATCAGTTCGAAGGAGAATGAAAAATTACAGAATAAGGTGAACGAATTGGAACGGATGAAATATAGGCGGGAAGCGTCGAACGTCGAGAAGGAGAACGAGAGCGCGAGACGGCTTAAGGACATAACGGAGAAGATGAACAACGAGATACAATTGTTGAAGGTAAACTTGAAAATTTCGAAGGAGGATTTCAATCAAGCGAATCGAGAGATCGCCGATTTAAAAATTAAATTGGAACATTTGTCCGACGAAAAGACGAAGTTGGAGTCGAGCGTTGCTCAGTTAGAATCGAAGAAGGAGATACTGGTGTATCAATTGGCCGCCGAGAAAACTACCGCCGAGGAGAGGCTGAAAGAGATCACCAAGTTGAAATCAGATTACGTCGAATTAGACGTGGAGAAGGTGAATCTGAAAATGGAGAAGGAACAATTGAACGTGAATTTCACGAATTTGAAGGTGGAGAAGGAACAGATAGAGAAATCTTTAGAATTGGTTCAAAGCAAGTGTTCCATGTTCGAAAGTAAAATTGACAAATATAAGTGCGAGCGCAACAATCTGCTCGAAGAAGTCAGAAATCTTAAGGTGACCAAGGAAACTTTAACCATCAAATTGGAAGAGACGAAGTCGCAGTTGGACGGAACTGGAGATAAGATAAGGCAATTAGACGTTGAAAATTCGAAACTTCACATTGACCTGAACGAATTAACTGTGAAGAAGACGAGCCTTGAACAAGCTTTCGAAACCCGCGAACAAACGCTTTTGTCGGAGAACCACGACCTCGCAACGCGTGTTAACAAATTGGACGAGGAAAACCAGACGTTGAAGAATCAATTGAAGGAAAGTAAAACGACAAACGAATATTCCAACGTCGAGTTGAGTAAACTCAGGACGGAATATGATAACGTGAAATTGGAAAATACGACTCAATTGGACGAGTTAAAGCAATGCAATGAAATGTTGAAGGAAATGAACAACGAGTTGAAAATGAAACTGAATGAAATTCACAGCGAGTACAGAATATTAGAGAATCAGTTGAAGATCTTGGAATTGATGAATACCACGTTGAAGAAGGAGAAAGAATTATTGGAAAAAGAATACACGAACACTCTGCAGAAATTGAAAATGGAGAGATTGGAGAAGGAAGGAATCACGTCGGGCAGCGAATCAGTTTCTACCGAGCAAAACGAAGATATGGGAAAATTTGAGAAACGCCTGAAAAAGGAAAAGGTACCGGAGAAAGAAGTAATAAAGAAATTGATATTGGAAAATGAATCGTTGAAATTCGAAATATTAAATTTGAAGAGTCAAAACTATGAAATTAAAACGCAATTGACTCAAACGAAGGAAGAGATTCAAAGGCAAAAGTCGAATGCCGTGGAAAAAAAGACGAATGAAACGACGATTAAACCTATCTCGAACAAGTTGGAGATCGTGAATCTTTATTACAAAGAGATTAACAGTTATTCGTCTCGTGGTCTGAAGAATACAGAGGCGGTGACGCACATAGACCAATCGAGTTTATGCCTGTATGAGGGTATGAATCGTGGATCGGACCTAGAGATCGAAAAATTACTGGAAATAATGAACAAATTGAAAGTGGAGAATATTGCCTTGAGAATGGAAGTGAACTCTTTGAGATGCAATTTGATTATTAATTTCTCTGAAGAAGAGAAGAAGAAGAAAGACCTACGAATAGCCACGGATGAGATTCAAGCATTGAAATCGGAATTGAAGAAACTGAGGGACGAAAGAGAATCGTTGCGGATTAAATTCAATACAACTAATGCGAAATTGGATCTGCTGGAATCTGAGAAAGCTGCTTTGAAGAATGAACTGTATACTATAAGAAATATTAATTCCGATTTTAAACAAAAGATAAGCGATTTAAACAGCACTTATCAAAAATCGAAGGAGAAGAATTTAGTATTCGAGAATTGTATCGTGAAAGCAATTAAAAAGATAGAGAAATATACTTTATGCGATAATATGCAAATCAAAGGTAATAACGAATTGAAGATACTTTTGAAGAAATACATATCAAACGAAGAAATTTTGCAATCCATTGAAAAAAGAATAGATATAGAAACGACATGAATTTTCTGGCAATGAATATCGATAAAATTAATTTGTATTAAAATGAATTATATTAAAATAAATATGAAAATTAAGAAAGAAGAGAACAGAAATATAATAAGTAATATTTAAAATGAGCTTAAAAAAATTTCCAAATTTTAATAACTTTATCAAACAGTTTAAAATATAATTTCTTAAATATTAAATTTACCTAGTTCCTAATCTAAATAATTAATCACTTAAATCTCTAATATAACAAGACTCTAATATAAGCTGTACTGATACAGTTCCGTGATGCTTATAAATTGGTAAAAAAAGTTTTGAAGAATCTCGCAAGTTTCGTGAGAGAAACTTCAAGGTCCAATTAGTTTAATTACCAATTTATTTCGAAAAGTATCTTCGAACATCGTTCTGATAAAAGATGAATATAACAAATTTATAAATATTAATTACAATGATTATTTACCGATCAACCGAATTATCAAAAGATAAATGAATCGAGTAATCGTGTTAATTATTTGACCAAGAAAGAAAAAAGAGAAATTAAGATGAAATATTTAATATTAATCGAAATCGATAACTGTTTTATGAATAATTGCCAATAATTTATG